GTAAATCTCTGGGGGCATTAATGTTAGTTGAAGTAATATTGCTAGTTTTAATAAGCTGATTTCTTCCATCAGCAAAAAGAAAAAAAAAAAGAAAAAGAAATCTTCCTTTAAAAATGAACAATATTGTTATCACACAGCATAATGTTTGAAGTGAAATATAAACTTTAAAAATATATTATTCATACCTGCACCTCCGCCTATGCTGAGAATCTTAATTTCTGATTTTGTGTCTCCAATCCTGAAAGAAAAAATTATGTAGTTTTAGAAAAATGTGTTAGGTGCTTTGTGAAATCTGATTATCTAGTCTAGTTTAAGAGAACAGACTAAAAATACAATGAATGAAAACTAGGCCAACATGAAAGTTCCCAATTATACCAGTTACACTGCCATCTTTAGAGTATATTTCAAAATACAGGTTATATTCATTAACAGTCTTGAACTGGGAGACTTGGAAATGGCAGTAATTACATCTCAGAGGTAGAAAATGCCATTTGTTTGAATCTTGTTTGGAGAACAAGAATAGAAAAAGTGGAGTTTTGAGTCTGGTAATATAATAAGCCACCCATCGTAGATAGGGAAAAGGCTCAGGTGGTTCCCACTATCTGTAATGTCTGCCTTCTTTCCTCTCCCACCCCTTTTTACCTTCCTTTTAATGAACAAATGTTTATTAAACATGTATTATGTGTATTCTATCCTAGGCATTAAAAAAACAGATATCACTTTGCTCTCAAAATGAAATGTGAGATAATAAAGCCCTGAATTATGACTCAGGTACTAGAAATAGAATGAAGTAGATAGATTGGGAAATAAGCCAGTAGGACTTGCTGTTAGATTGAAGTGAAGACATAAGAAAAAAAAAATATGAGTGTGCAATGACTTCCCTGTTTCAGGCTTGGATGACTGGGAAAAGGGTGATGCCAAAAAGGAAGCTGAGAAATATAGTTTGGCAGCAAACTTATGTTTTGTCAGGGCTTTTTAAAAAAATAAATACAAATTCGGCAAACATTTGAATTTGCAAGATTTAAGCTGGGAGAAGAGAAATCAGGGTCAGTGATGTATTCTGGAGAATCATCATCATAAAGTAATGGTCAATGCTAGAAGAGTAGATTCCATCACCCAAAGATATTGCAGAGTTAGAGTAGTAGTGGATGGTGATGCAATACCAACTTCTAAAGATAACTGGATTGTGAAGAATACACAAAGAAGACAGAGAAGAAAAGAAAGCACAGAGAAGTACTAGAGTAACTGGAGGCAGAGAAAGCCCTTAGTCGTGGCAAAAGCAGCAGAGTGTACTACTTAAAAAAGGAAAAATCTATACCAAATTTGGCAATATAAGTGTCTTTAATAATAGCAGTTTTAAAAGAAGACTGAAGACTGCAGTCAGATGGCAATGGGATTAAAAGTGAGCTCAAAAATGAGGAAGCAGATCTGGAGTCTGTTGAAAAAGGATGAAAGAGAGAAGGAAAAGAGATGACTGCTACAGGGGAACCATGAAGGGAAAAGGATGGTGTTTGTTTCTTTGGACTGTGGGGTGGTAAACAAACCTGTGTTTTCTCTTCATTGCAAAAGCTTGCACAGTCACAGGATGGGAACAAAGGTTGAAGTAAGGTTCTAAAGGAATCTTGCAAAGTCTAGGGTCAAGAACACCTATAAATGAGTTGCCTTTTTCAGTTCTAATTATCCTCCAGTTCATAATCCTGCATCCTAACACATCCATTTCTATCTTAACCTTTTGTTCATTCTTTAAAATGCTTACATCTATGACAGCATAGGGAGGCTATGAAGCAGAGGACCCAAGTTGAAATCCCAGGTTACTGATACGTACCTTGAGCAAGTTATTTGACATCTCTGTGAAATAAGATAATAATATCACCTCTCTTGTAGGATTATTAGTAACTGTTTCTAATTCATGGAGAAATTGTGAGGATTCAATTATTTAATTCATGTAAAGCTCTTAGAAATGTAACTGCACATGACAAGCACTCCACATATATTAGAAATTATTATGATTCTAGGCACATGTAAGTGACTTACGTGAATTACCTCTTTGAATCCTTAAAATTCCTCTATGAGTTAGAGACTATTATTCATCCCATTTCACATATTATAATGACATCAAATAATTATTGAAAACTTACTATTTTCTAGCCAAGGATTTAAAAGTTTTATATGCAACACCAATAACCAAGTTTACTATTTATAGTTATATACTATAATTTTTCCTGCCCCCAAGCCCTGCCCCACCATCTACCCCCAAATAGGGGATTGAAGAATTCCTCTATAGGGAAACAAATCATCTCAGTAATAAAGTTAACATGATTTTATATCTGAGGATCACCCAGGAAAGAGCTGAGTCCACACTCAATTACTCAGTGAGCTACTCACTCAACAAACCCTGCCCTGACTTACACAAAGAGAATCTGACTACCTTTTAGTGCGTCATTATTTGATTGAACAGAAAACCAAGGCTCATTAGGCAGTTGGGGAGCGGTCGAACATAAGAAACAGAGACTGAAAGAGGCAGAGTGAGCAGAGGAACATTTTGTAATGAATAAGAAGGTATTACATCTGAGAATGATGAAAAGAATGCTATAGAAAACATTCTTGGAAATTAAAAATATAATAGTAAAAAATTAATAGATGGGCTGAAAGAGAAAGTCATAGCAAACTGGAAATACAAGAAAATTAAGTAATCAATCCAGGAGGTATTTGATGAGCAAAAGTTTCAGAAAAAGAAAACAGAAGGGAGGAATGATTACCAAAGTTCCTCATAACTGAAGGGTCTGAATCTCAACCGAAATAGCCCAGGGAGTACCCACAAAATGGGTGAAAAGGAACCATTTCACAACTCACTATTTTAAAATTTCAGAGTACTAGAGATAAGAAGATTCTAAAAAGTTCAAAATAGGGAAAACAAAACACATAATGTGAAGTTATTCCACAAGCCAAGGATGAGAATTTTGAGTAGCATTTGATTTCTTTTTTTCTCTTGTGTGAGACAGGCTCTCACTCTGTCATCTCGACTGAGTGCAGTGTCGCAATCATGTCTCACTGAAGCCTTGATCTCCCGGACTTAAGCAATCTTCCCACTTCAGCTTCTGGAGTAGCCAGTGCTACAGGTGCACGCCACCTTGTTCAGCTAATTTTTTTACTTTTTCTGTAGAGATGGGATCTTGCTGTGTTGCCCAGGCTTGTCTCAAACTCCTGGGCTCAAGTAATCTTCCTGCCTCAGTCTCCCAAAGTGCTGAGATTACAGGCACGAACCAACACACCTAGCCAGTATTTTATTTGTTAACAGCAATTCTGGTATCTAAAAGACAATGTAAAATTACCTTTAGATGTATGATACAAAACTATTTTCAGTATACAGTTCTATATCCAGTCAAACTGTCTAACGATGAACATAGAACCAAGGGATTTTTAAACATACAAAGTCTCAAAAAGTTTACCTCTCATTCACTCTTAAAGCTTTTAAAGAATTAGTTCAGGAAACAAACGACTGAGGAAACAAAGAAAAGAAAGGCATGAGATACAGAATCAGGGAATCAAATACTTCAGAAAGAAAATGATTCTCAGAAAGTGAAATAAACTCCCTCCTTAATAGTTGTAGAGCAGGCCAAAGCAGATCTTCCTAAACTGAAAAAAAGAACAGAAGGCTTCAGAAAAGTTGTTCCCTTGGGGTAAAATAAACAGATTCCTTGATATGTTTGCATATATTGAGATGAGATTAGTATATCTGCTTCGGAATCAAAGTAGTAATAGGTACATAGAGAACTAAGAAAAGAAACCAAAATTAAGGCAATAGTCAACTCTAGGGAAAACAAAAAGTTGTACATAAAGGAAATGTAAGCATAGTATAATATATTGCTTAATTATTAATCATATGTACATAGGCAAAATAACATAAACACTCAAATTATTTAACCAAAATTTTGACTAAATATAGTGACATGAAAGGGTGGGAAACACGCATGCTAATTAGCTAGTCTAGTACAGCAAAATGAATAAATAGAAAAATAACATGTTATTTTGAATTATGAAAGAAAATTCCATAAATAACTAAAAGATTTCAAAGTGCTGAAAGTGGTTGCTTCTGGAGAGTGAGAATCAAGAATGGAGTGGGTGGGATTTGTTATAGGCCCCACCCACTCTAGAACCATTTGATTGTTTTTAGAACCATTTGATGTTTTAAAACATGAGCACGTCTTGCTTCAATAAAAATTTAATAGGCTCGCTCCATACTCAATTAGCACAGTGAGCCACCAACTCAACAAACCCTGCCCTAACATACACAAAGCGTATCCTAATCACGTTTTGGTACTTCATAACTCAGACAACTTTAAGCAACAATTTTAAAGGTTCTTCAGCTAAATCTTATTTCAAACACTACCTTCAGGAAAAAATTACTTTTTAAATAAATGACACTGAGTCTGATCATTCCTAACTATATACTATTGTTAAAAGACAAACAGTGTGCCCTTAAAAATTCTTTAGTCTTTCACAGATTTTATAATATTTCCAGTTAGATTTAAACTTTGAAGATAAGGAAGGGGTCATTCATCATTTATTACATTATCTCCATCCACAGCACCTCTTCAAACCAAACTGTGTATGGCTGAAGAAAACCAAGGATCTGGTAAGCTACAGACATGAGCAATACTTTTGGTACTGAAAAAGAATTGAGAAATTAGCTCATAATTAGCTCATTACCTTTAACTTTAGAAGTGAGCAAGGAAACCCAAAGAGGTTAACTATAATTAGTTCCTAGATAAGAAGTTATCTGTATTTGCCATCTGCTTTGATGTTTGGCATCCTTATCCTATTATATATTAATTTTTAATATATAGTATCCTATTTTTTGAAAGCTAACATTTAAAATCTGAATCATGTTAAATAGAAAGGGAAATAAAATTTTATATACATCTAATAATGCCTGCTCTGGTCAGACGTAGGTACTGCCCTGGTGAAAGAATTTCAGGCCTATAATAGAGAAATTTAGCAAAAGATAAAATACCACTTTCCTTTGCTGTTTGCAAATTGGATCCATAGTCATTTCTTCCCAGTTTTCCATTATTATTTCCTGAAGCAGAGTGAGTTACAGCAAATCACCCCTAGAGAGGTGATTTGATTATCTTTAGCATGTGGAATCTGTTACTCTCATAATGCTTATCAGCTCTGACACAAATTGAACACATTAATCACCCCAAAAAAGAACTCTGCAAGAAGGATAGGAACCAGTGAGTTTCACTGATAATGGGAAAATGGTTCTTTCTTTAAGGAACACGTTGCTAATATTAAGTTGAAAGAAAAAGACAATTTTGGGGAAGACAGTGATAACTATAACAATGGATAAGGAAAATGAATTTAAATAGATATTATGAGAACTGAGGGACTCAGTCCTCAGGGCACATCTTACTTTGGCAATTATTTATATTTGATTCTAATGAAAAGTATACCAGACTCCCTTTGGGCCTTTTCGGGGATGTAAAATTTGGAGGAGGGCTGAAAAGTCTGAGTTCGAAGATTAGCATCTTATCTTTTTCCAAATGAACATGGATTTGTGCCTTCAAATGGTTAACGCTTATCTGTATGCAGCTGGAAATACAGCACAAAAGGGAGCCTTTAAGTGTTTAAAGCAAACGTAGAACCAAAGCACTGCAGGAGAAAGGCAGGGCAGGGCAGCGAGGAGGGGGACGAGGGGGAGTTGCTATCAGTAACTCGCCCTTATCCCCGTGCCCAGCCTGCGAGGCTGAGCTAGACCCATCTATCACTGACGCACAGCGAGTCTCAGGCTTGTCCCTTTGACAACAACGTCCCTTTTGTTACCTTGCTATTATGCCTGGCAGCTTCTTGTCCATGAATTCCTGCATGCACTGGTGTTCCGTGGAATGGCTGAGAAACCTCCGGAAAGATTCAGCATATCTCCCGTGGTCAGAAGACAAGCTCCTCATGGAAGATGCCATGTTTGGTTTTCTGAGAAAGACAGAGTGGGAAGCAAGGTTTAACTTCCCCTCCTTCTCTTCCCAGTTCCCTCATTCTTTCCCCACCCCCACCAGTTTCTATCCAAAAAAAAAAAAAAAAAAAAAAAAACGCTAGGCTTGTTTTGAATTTAACATGCACCAAAGGCTGGCGTGCAGAGTTCATTGCTGACTCAATGTTTGAACAGCACTTTGCACTGATACTTTAACCCCTACACGGTTGTTTTATAAGAAATAGAAGTACTAAAGCAAGGCTGTAAATACACTGCTAAAACTTTTCAAACTCCTGATGTTGAAAGGTCATGAAAACAGACTGTATTCAAATCACTTCCTGTTTTGCCAGCAGAGCCACAAGTAAGTTCCAAGTGTGAAAGTGACTGTTCGAAGTGGCAAATGCAGGATGAAAAGGACAGCTACACAGCACTCTCAGAAATCTACAGCAGTGAAATCTTTGACGAAAGACTGTCATCTGCCTCTGGGCTTTCTACAGGATTGTTCTGGCCTTTCTACAGGATTGTTCTGGCCTTTACATCCCTCAGCACTTAAATTTTCAACTTATCTGCTGCATTTCTTCAAATGCTGATTTGTGGTAACTCAAATTATCTTAAGAGGAAGTCACCAAGGAGGAGCCCAAGAACTCGTAGCTAGAAGCTGTCAGAAGCTGCATTTAGGGAATTGAGAGTGGTGAGAGAAGTCTTGGAGCAAGAATGCAGGACACCAGGGTAAAAGCCCAGTCCGTAGAATCCTTCCCTAAGCACTTGGAACACGACGAGGTCAAAGACAGTTCGCTTGGCTGGTTGAGCCTTTGGAAACCCAGTGGTGTCACCCACCAGAAGACCCAAAGCTTCAGAGTACTCACACACAGTCTTTCTCCTGGGAAGTGGTCTTTAAGAAGGTATCTAATTCTTTATCTAATACTGAGTTGTTAATAATAGCATCCAACTCATGGAGGAGTTGTGAGGATCAAATGAGTTAACTCATTATAAGTCTCTTAGAAATATGTCTGCTTAAACCGTCCCCTTCTAATTGAGCTCCCAAACTGCCCTCTAAGCATTCAAAACACTCCCCAACTCCCTTTGTTTTCTGTTTGTTTGTTTGTTTTTGTTTTTTGAGACGGAGTCTCGCTCTGTCGCCCAACCTGGAGTGCCATGGTGCGATCTCCGCTGACTGCAACCTCTGCCTCCTGGGCTGAAGTGATTCTCCTGTCTCAGCCTCCCGAATAACTGGGATTACAGGCGCCCGCCACCACGCCTGGCTAATTTTTATATTTTTAGTAGAGATGAGGTTTCACCATGTTGGTCAGGCTGGGGTTGAACTCTTGACCTCAAGTGATCCACCCACCTTGGCCTCCCAAAGTGCTGGGATTACAGGCATGAGCCACCATGCCCAGCCCCCAACCCCCTCCCCCAACTCTCTTTTATAAGTATGTTTTGTTCTCACTATTCTTAGAGCCAGTGCTTTTACCCTAGGGGAAAATGGAACATCTGGATAGGCAGATTGCCATGGATGACTCTGTCCTTAATGAACTATGTGACTTTGGCTGAAATATAAGCTGCAGTTTGCTCATCAGTAAAATGGGAACAACGAATTTTATCTCATAGGGTTGTAGTGAGAATAATATAACTAAGGTTTAAAAAGTGCAAGCCAGTCCCTTCTGCAGAAAAAAAAAAATAATAATAATAAAATAACAAAAACAATCATCACTTTATTCATGGACGTTGAAATTTGAGTTTCATATCATTTTCACATGTCATGAAATACTATCCTTCTTTGAATTTACTTTAACCATTTAAAAACATAAAAGTTATTGGTAGCTCATGGGCTGCACAAAACAGGTGGGTAGGGCTGGGTTCGGCCACAGGCCCTATTTGGTCAGGCCCTGATTTAGCTCCTCTGCCCTTCACTCATCCTTGGATAAGGTCTTTGCTAGTTCTCTACTCACATCGCTATCCAACCAGCCTTCCATTTCCTCAGATTGGCTCTGACAAACTTTTGCTTGTATTACCATCTTCCATTTTTCTCTTTAGAGCTCAACCCAAATCATTCATTCATTCATGTGTACATCTATCTGTTTTTGTTTCATTTTAACCCAAACCAAAAATGGCCAATAATGTATTCATCTATTGAATAAATGTTCAGTAAGAGTTGCTGTTGGCTATTCTGCTGAGGAATACTCCTGACATGACTTTCTCTTGGAAAGCTGCTGCTAAGACCTCCCTTAACTGAAACTTGGTCTTCTGAGACTATCACCTCCCTTGTCTGCTGTCAGATATTCTCCAACAGAGCCTGTTCTTCATGTGGATCCCATTGAGGACTTCCTTTCCATTCCCACTGTTTCCACCCTACTTGAGATTCTCTTTATTTTTAACTTATTGTGCTATTTAGAAACAAAACAAAACAAAACAAAAACAAAAAAAAACTTTTAAGTTCAAGGGTACCTGTGCAGATTTGTTACATAGGTAAACATGTTTCATGGGGGCTTGTTTTACAGATCTTTTCACCACTCAGGTATTAAGCCTAGTACCCACTAGTTATTTTTCCTGATTCTCTCCTTCTTCCCACACTCCACCTCCAATAGGCCCAGTATGTGTTTTTCCCATCTAATGTTTCCATATTTTCTCATTATTTAGCTCCCACTTATAAGTGAGAATATGCAGTATTTGGTTTTCTGTTCCTGCATTAGTTTGCTAAGGATAATGGCCTCCAGTTCCATCCATGTCCCCACAAAGGACATGATCTCATCCTTTTTTATGGCTGCTTAGTATTCCATGGTATACATATATCACATTTTCTTTGTCCAGTCTGTCATTGATGAGCATTTAGGTTGTTTCCATGTATTTGTTATTGCATATAGTGTTGCAATAAACCTTCACATACTTGTGTCTTTATAACAGAACAATTTATATTCCTTTGGGTATATACCCAGTAATGGGATTGCTGGGTTGAATGGGATTTCTGTCTTTAGGTCTTTGAGGAATCGCCACACTGTCTTCCACAATGGTTGAACTAATTTACACTCCTACCAAGGGGGTATAAGTGTTTCCTTTTCTCCACAACCTTGCCAGCACCTGTTATTTTTTAACTTTTTCATAATAGCCACTGTGACCGGTGTGAGGTGGTATCTCATTGTAGTTTTTATTTGCATTTCTCTAATGATAAGTGATGTTGAACTTTTTATTCATATGATTGTTGACTGCATATATGTCTTCTTTTGAAAAGTATCTATTCATGTCCTCTATCCACTTTTTAATGTTTTTTTTTCTTGTAAATTTATATAAGTTCCTTATAGATGACGGATACTAGACCTTTGTTAAGTGCATAGTTTGCAAAATTTTTCTCCCATTCTGTAGGTTGTTTATTCTGTTTATAGTTTTCTTTTGCTATAGAGAAGATCCTTAGTGTAATTAGTTCTCATTTGTGAACTTTTGCTTTTGATGTCTTCGTCATGAAATCTTTGTCCATGTGTATGTCCTGCATGGTATTGCCTAGGTTGTCTTCCAGGGTTTCTATAGTTTTGCATTTTATATTTAAGTCTTTAATCCATCTTGAGTTAATTTTTATATATGGTGTAAAGAAGGGGTGCAGTTTCAACTTTCTGCATTTGTCTGGCCAGTTAAAAAAACAGCCAGAGCTGTTTTTTTAATTGGGTTTCCTGCTTTAGGAATCACACAGATCCTAACCAATTTTATTGCCACTGTCAGCTACATGTTTCTTTTTTTTTTTTTAAGTAAGTTTGGATAAAGACACTCTTTTCTTTCTCTTATAATATTTAGTCTCCCCACTGACCCCCAAGTCAAGTACAAGATCCACTCTGCAGCTCCCCCAATAATTATCCAGAATTGTGTCTCATTTATCTCTAGTTTTGCATTTATATCCCCTTCAAATTGTGCTGCTTCTCTGGATACGTTCCTATGCTTTTTTGCCTACAGCCTCTCCTCACAATAGTTCCTTCTGTAACATGCTGCTTCCTTTCTTACCACATCCATTGAAAAATTTTCTATTCTTCATATGCTACCACTTTCATATATCCTTCCATATTTCCCTCAAAAAATTCAGCACTCATGCTCATAATTTCTGATATTCTTGCAAGCATTCATCCTTGTGTTATTGTTGTTTAATATATTCGCCTTAACTCCCCTGCTTGTCCCCATGTGACTTAGCTCATAAAGACAGGAACTGAGTCACAGCTACTTCCCTGATGTGTTGCCCAAAGTAGACTTTCAGTTCTTTTTTAAATAATTAAGAATGTGCTTGAGCATTTACACTCTTGAGATGTTGTCTGCTATCAGATGTCCTCCATCCTTTTCATTATTGAGTAGCTCTATATGTTACCAATAACACCAGACTTCCATTTCTTGAGCACTTACTATGTGCCAGAAATTGTATAGACCTTATAAAATTTAATGTAAATCCTACATTTACTTGGAGTATATCCAAAGATTTACTCTTTGTAGTACCTCCATCAACTTCCCCCTATTACAAATGAGAAAACCAAGTTTCTGAGAGATTAAGCTACCTAGCCAAAAACTGCAGGACTGGTGTTGAATTGTAGGTCTGTCAAATCCCAGGACTAGTGCTCTCACAAAAATCTTTATATTCAGCCAAAACTTGCTGCCCTGTAATTCTTAGATAGTACTCCTATTTCTGGTTGCTTAAACTAAACAGAAGTAATTCAGTTCTTTCTCCATATAACAACCATTAAAAAACTTGAAATCAACCATCAGGACAACCTTACTCCCCAAAGTGTCTCTTTCATAGCTCCTAATTATTTCTTCTGCAATATAGCGTTATATAATTCATTACTCTGGCCCCTCCTTTGGAAATACTCTAGTTTGACTGGGTTCCTTTAAATGGTGATGTTTGAAAATAAACACAATATCCCCAAAGCTACCTAAAAAGTGGAGATTTATTTTCCAGGCTTACACTAGTGTTTCCCAAAGTTCCGCCCAACCCAACTTCTTTCAGATTTTACTCTGCAAAAAAAAAAGGGTTCCACAGTCAAATAATTTAAAAAGTGCTGAATTGAGTAGCTTCCTCTGGATATTTATAATGCACATTAGTATATTAAAGATTCATAAAACCTTTGTCACATGTCCTCTTCAGATGCAAATATATCATGGCTACGACATTTCTGTGATTAGTCTTACAGTCCCTCAAAAGACCAAAAAAAAGAGGAAATCTTGTTGCTTTCAGCATGA